CATTTGTCTCCAAAATAAGCCTGATTGAATGGTTTCTGCCGTCAGTCATCAACACGGCGATGAGGGAACTCAATAGATAACATAATAGCCATCGATGCTAAAAGGGTTGATGCCATTTTTTGGGTCAGGTGGCTTGACCTTACTAGCTAGAAAAAGTCCGGCCAGGCTCAAGCGTTTAGCTACAAAGACAGATCAACTCAAATCACACGACTGCTTTTGAATAAGTTGAAAATAAGATCACTTAACCCACTGAAATAGTGAAGTTAAATGTACATACAATACAAATCTTCAACCTCGTGAATTCACTTTGTGTAGCACTCATTTCAACCAAACGTTCCTTTAAGACTCAACCATAAGGTGGAAAAAAAGGTTCCATGCTACATTATCCACCAGTCGCAGCCATATGTCGACAAGTCAAATGGTACTATATGGTTTCAAGTTCTATTGCATATTCGGATGTCCATATATATGCCATGCTTAACCCCATAAAATATTTTTTTGGCTTTTCTTCAACTAAACGCATCCACTGACTGCACCAATGAACATCTAAGATAATACTTTTAAACAGGATCAAATGTGCTATAATAATGGTGGCTGAAATGTTTCCAGTAGTGTGTTAATTGCTAACTATATCAGGATTACACAAAGTACCAAGTCTTTACATGCCAAGTTTAGTACCAAGTATTCTTAATATGTCAGATCCAGAAAACTAATTGTGAAGTTTCACACTGGAGTCGTTGCCTTCGATATCACACAAATTTTCAACTTGTGCACCCATTCCTCCTCCTTTTATCTCCTTCAATCTTAGTTACAAATTTCAGTCGATATGACCATATTTGGTTGCTAACTCCTGGCAAAAATGGCGAGTCAAAACAGACATAAACATCAGCTGCAAAGGACAGGTAAAATTCAGATCATACAGAGAGTTAATCACCAAGGAAGACGCTATTTGTTCCATTCGTACGTGGAAAGGCACCTAGTGACAATAATAATTGCATTCAACAAAATGGCCAGCAAAACAGACAATTTTTACTTATTGTTTTTCCTTTTTAAACGTGTCCATTTTGTAAAATGGTGCATACCATAAATATTCAAATTGTGTACTAGCAGAATCTTCTTTCAATTTCTTTGCCATTTAGAACTATACATACAATTTAGTCAGTTGATTTTTTGAATTCGAATTAGTTCATCAAAGCTTGTGAAAGAGATGGCATGGACTTTATACAAAGGTCAATCACACTTCATCAAATAATATAGCATTCATGGGAGTCACAACTCACTCAATCCCTGCACCCAATAAAACATTGTATTATTACTGACAAAACAGTAAGTGAAACGGGAAAAAGAAAAGAAAAGGTTACTAACTTCATGTTTGGTACAATGTACTCAACAGGACTCGAGTGTTCAATGAACAAAAAATTAGCTTCTTTTTGTTCTTTTTAGAAGAGAGAAAGCAAACAAACTCAAAAGTATGTATGCTTCCACAGGATAAGAAATAGTGTGGACAACAGCTGATCAGTTAAACGACAGGGAATGCACTTGTTTCAAGTATCAAGTACAAACCTTCATTTGCTGGGCTTATCAATCATCTACACCAAATAGAAAAATATCGACCACCATCAATGCTCCAAGAGTTTGATCTTCTCAAGGCAGTTTTGCACGTGTAGCTGGTAATCAGGTGTGAGGCGGTCTCCAGCCAACAATTTGTACTGTTCAAATTTCAATTCATCACACTTCAAAGCAGCATTTTTGCAGGCCTTGATACTTCCTACCAGAGTAGAAAAATGGGTTAAAATGCTGATTTCTATTGTTAGGAATACACCAAATGTAGTCCAATAAAAGAAAATTACTGACTTCTACTTTCAGGAACGTCAATTTTTTTGGTAGAAAAAAATTGCTAAAATACTTGAATTTTATTCCCCAAGTGAGAAATGATGTCAAATTAGGTAACCAAAATCACAGAAAATTGCAACTATATTTTCAGAAAACAAAAGTAGTCTAATTTGATGAGAAAACAAATCTTCAGCAACTTAAGCGCGAATGGAAACACTGGTTGAAACAGTAATTCATACAACATTGAAGCCTATTGAAACCATTAGTATCTCCATTCAAACTTACAAAATGCTCAAGACTTCAAAGATATCTTTCATGGCGAAAGTGTACATCTACCCTCCTTCTTTAATACAGTCAACAAACCAAAATGAAATAACAGTATTTAAGCATGATTAGCTAAGCTTTAAAAAGTTTACTTATAAGTTAGTTTTCAAATAAATAACTGTTTTGTTAGTCAATTTTGATTTTTGAAAATAAGTTACTTTCAATGTAAGGCAAGAGCTACTTTCAAGATAAGAAAAAATGTAACTAGCCAAACATATTTTCAAGTAAAAAAATAAATAAATTACTCAAAAGTAAACTTCAACTTATTTTTCAGCTAAGACAATAATGCTCAAAGGTTAGATTTTGCAGCTGTCAGAGCAAAAATAGTTTCTTTCGCAGCAAAAGCACAACAATCAAGTCAAAGTGCACGACGACTATCTTCAATAAAGTAAATAAACCATAAACAAATTGTAGAAGCTTGACTCACCACTCAAATCAAGTAGATTGAAAACCACAGGACAGTTTCCTACACTTCTAACCATGGTGGTCGCAGCCCAAACTCTTTGGCACTCCTCCCTTGAAACTCTAATGATGCAAACTTTCGTAATTGGATTCACATACTTCACTGCAAATGACAAAAATTCAAACTCGTAGCTGATATATAAGAATTTCATGGAAATTATATGCTCAGGTACTAGACAAGAAAGTCAAATCTTTCCAACCTCACCTTGAAATGAATTGAGAGATGAGGCTAGCCCACATTCCCCAAAGTTGGTGAGAATGCTGTCTTTGATTGCTTTTGATAAATTGAATTGGGTGATTATAACAGGTTCATCCATGCCAAGATCTTTACCGGGGTCGAGAAACACTTCCATCACTATGTACCGATTCTTAAAGCCTACCATGATGGTTTGCCTTCACACATAATTATACATGTTATTTATACATAGAAGTAAAAGTCTGCAGGTTTAAACGTGTCCCCTTTATAAAAGCTTGAGCTTTTGGGGCGAGGCCATTCGACTTACTATTATCACCTATTTATAAATTTTATGCACCTCTAGGCGTTTGATAAAATGTGAATCTGCCTCCTATTGGGGGTTTACATTCACAAATTTTAAATCCAGAGTTTATGATACACGGCTCGGAAAAAAATTATGGTCAAATAAAATCAATAAGCCGTTGAAATCATTTAATAATAGTTGCAAATAAAGCGAAAAAAAAAATTACCTTGTTCAATAAATTAGCAAATAAATGAAGAAATTGTACCCACGAGAACCAAGCCTACAGAAAATCAAAGTAAACCATGAAAAACCAAGAAAACATCTTTTTTTCCAAAAAAATCGTACAAAACAAAATATAAGAGATGCATCTGAGTATTTTACCAGATTGAAAGTCTAAATAATGCGGAAAGAAGAGTTTTACCACATCGGATGAAACGGAAAATCAAATTCTCTCCTAATATGATTTCAATTAGGATTTACTCTCAAATAGAATAGGGTGGGGAATGCAGATTTGGAACGGCAGGAACACTACACAAGCCTTGATAACTTACCCCTTGAGAATCCGTGACTGAGGTAGGATGAAACCGGTGAAAGGGACACGATTTTACCGTGTTTTACGGTTAGATTAGAAGAAAAATAGTAAAGAAACATTGAAACGATTATAAAGAAGTAAAGTACAAGTATATTTACCCAAAGAACGCAGACGGCAGACCCTAACACAGCTCCAGCCAGCCAGCAAGCTTCTGCAGTAAGTTTTTTTCACACAATGATGAGAATTGTAAAGTTAAAATTAAAAAAATATGAAGAAGACTCCAATTTCCTTCTGAAATAATCTTAATTTTTAGAAATATTACATTAGTAACTTATTTGTTTAATAGTACATATCTATATAAAATTTTATTTGTTTAATTAATTTGATTTTTGAGCGTATTTCGATTCGATTGTGCTACATGTATATAATAATTAACATAGATGATAGATACGAGTATTGATATATGATTTGGTCAAATTTCTTAAACTAAATACACAAAAAAAAAAAAAAACTTTTGTACTTTATTTTTGACACATGTGTAAATAGTTATGTAACTTTATTATGTGTATGTAGTATTATTCATTTCAATTTAGCCCCTGTTTGATCCACATTATTTTTTTCATTTTCATTCTTCTACTCATTTTCAACCACACATTCTTCAATAAAATAATATTTTCCATCACATCAATAATTTTTCTTTTTTTTAACCACACATTCTCCATCAATCTACTATTCCAGAATACATTTTTNAAAGTAAGGAAAAATTTTAAATTTATGTAAAAAAATTATTGTATAAATGTGTGATTAAAAATGAATATAAGAATTATAGAATTTTATTTTAAAACGAGGCAAATGGAGCTAAACTGTGCAAGTTGTTGTCTCATGTAAGAGCATCTCCAGAGGCTCTCTATTTAAAAAAAAAACATATTCTATCACTTTGAGATTGTCTATAAATTTAGAGGGTTAAAATTTTGAAGTACTCCAACAAGTTTTTTTATATATAACACTTGATTTTACTATTCCAAAAAAATATTTATTATTTTTCTTTATTTTAACTAGCTTTTCTTTAAATTATTTTATTGTTTTCGTACCTTGAAAATTGAAACTCTTTGAATGCATTTAATTATAGAGAGTGAGTTTTACTCTCCAAATTTGGGGAGTCAAACCCACTCTCTAAATTAAAATGTTAATTTAAAGAGTTTCTTAAAGCATAATTTTAAATGTTGACTCTTTAAAATAGAGAGTATCTCATATTTAAAGAGTTTCTTGGAGATGCTCTAATATTTAATTTATATTGTTAAATATTATTTAAATTATAATTAATTTGATTGTAATAGTAATCAAATAGATACAGAATAGGGGTCAGAGCCCGTGTGTGCGCGTGCGAGCGAAAGAGAGAGAGTCTACGAGTCACTCGGATTCAACTCATGCGGACTGCTTCTTACGTTAAAATGAAGGCAAATTCATTTTTACATCACACATCCTTACAATAAATTTTCGTTTGGCCCTCATTGTTCTTTTCTTATTTATTTTCAACTACACAATTTTTCATAAAATAATATTACATGAAAATCGAAATATTTTTTTCTTTTTCAACTATACATTCTTTTAAAAACACTATTTCAAAAATTATAATTGCCACCTAATGGGGTCAAATGTGGGGCTATATCTTATTATTTTGTTTCACATTTTCAACAAACGTGTGAGGCCCACCTATTGATGTGCACAATTATTTATTTGTAAAAATGTTCGACTTAGCCCCCGTTTGGTACACATTAAAATTTTAATTATCATTCTTTTACTCATTTTCAACCAAATATTTTTCAATATAATAATAATTTTCATCACATCAATAACTTTTCCTTAATTTTCAATCACACATTCTCCATCAATCTACTATTCCAAAATGAGTAATGTTATTCATCCCCAGTTGGGTTACAAACACAGTCTATGTGACTCTAAATGATAGGTTAATTTCACCTATCAGTTAACCTATCATTTATAACCACCTATACTATGTTTGTAACTCCAGTGAAAATGAATAATATTACTCTTCCAAAATACATTATTTCAAAATAATGTGGCTCAAACACACCCTTATAATATTGGTATCAACCACCATAAATGCAAATTTTCTTTATTGCTCCTATATCTTGACGTGCATGAATATTGTAATTAAAAAACGAGGGCATAATTGTCCATTTGACCTTCAACGATTGGATAGATATTTATTTATTAAAGATGTAAAAGAACACTGCAGTCTTGCACACAGCATACAGTAGCAAAACGCAAGTGGATTGAAAAATGCAAATTAATGGGAATTAATGACAGCCAAACGGGACTAAAATATTTTTCACGTAAATCTAAAAATTTTCATTACTTTTTAACTACACATTCTTTTAAAAATTACGGTTCAAAATATAGTTTTTGCGATGATTGTCATGGTTAAATAAAAGCTTGTTTGACAACCACTAATTTATTTTATAATTTGTTATAAGATTATTTTTAACCACACATTCACGCGATAAAATATTATATATGTATACCATTTTTTTTTCTAATTTTTAACCAAACATTCTCTAAAAATCACTATTCAAAACTTTTTTTTCAACCATGGTTGTCCAAGAGGTTCTAAGAGTGTGTTTGATGCACATTAAAATTGAAATAATGTATTTTTTGTGATGTGATGATAAATATATAGTTGAAAATGAAGTAAAAATTATTAATATGATGAAAAATATTATTTTATTAAAAAATATATTATTAAAAATGAGTACGTACAATAACGACTATATTTTTAATTTTGATTTAATTTTAATCTTTATCAAACGGGCACTAAATAACAATATTTTTCTAACGTCTACAACAAGATAATCGGATCGCCTTGTCTTTTTCTATCTATAAATATCCCATTCCCCACATTTTATAGTCTAGACAGAGAAAGTGTGTCTGTGTGTGAGAGAGATAGCTTGTGTTTGGCGGGTCTCGGTCTTCTGGGATACTGTAAGTTCTTTATTTGGGTCTTTCGTTTTCTAGTTTCCTTTTACTGTTTTTTACCTTTGATTTTAGGATCGATGTGTGTGTGATAGAGATTTTTTCTTACTATATATATGGAATTTTTCTGTGATATGATCTTAGTGTTGATTTATTTTACTACTTCATATATGGGATTTTATCAATAAACACCAGTATTTACTATTTACACACACACACATGCTGATTTAATCAACGAAAAAATGAAACTCCTGTTTAAAATTCTCTGCTTTAGAAATATCTGGAGATCTGTTTTCGATTTTCATGTTCGGGGCCTCGATGGTCTGTTGTCTCATGTAAATTGAAAAATATTAAAGAAAATGAGGAAATTGATCTAGTTCAAAAGAGAAATTAAATTTGGAACTTAGGTCAATAAATAGAGAACTTTGTTGTTTATTGATATTTTGGGGATGAAAACGTATTGTTTTTGCAACTCATTTTCAGATTATCAGACCATATAAATATATAATTATCAGAGTAGTGCACAAATTATGTCAGGCATAACTGTTTTTAAGTAATTTTGAATTTCACAATCGTATAGTTTTGCCAAGAGTTACCTATTTTAAATACTGTCAGAATGAATACTTGCTTATTTCCGATCATGATCTTGTAAGTAAACTTCTAAACCTTAGCCAAACAGGCTCAGATCTGGATTGAATTTGACAGTTGTCATCTTGTTGGGTCTGCAGAACGTTCAGGTCAAGGTACTAGGATTCTGGAATATTTTTAAGGATCAAAATTACTGATCAATAGAAGAAATGGAGGTATTTGGAAAATCTTTGGTAGCCGTGCCTACAAATGTTATTTATCTGTCGAGCATTCTTGGCCAAGATGGGCCTGTTCACAAGTGTGATTGGAAATGTGAAAATGAACATGTGTGTGGGAACATGTATCGCTGCAGGCTAACTGGACTGACACACATTTGTGACAAAAACTGTAACCAAAGAATTTTGTATGATAACCATAGTTCCCTTTGCAGAGTGAGCAAGCAGATTTTCCCGTTATCACCAACTGAGCAGCAGGCAGTGAAAGGTATCCGAAGGAAGCTTGAAGTCAAGAGTACCCCCTCTGAGAGTTGTTCTTTTAAGCGCAGAAGGGATGCACAATATTGTCCCTCGCCATTAGAGAGATCGTTCTCTTCTGTTAATCATTTCTGTTCTAGTAAATAGGATTGACAAACAGACAAACTCTCTTATGTCTATTGTTCACAGGAGGAAAAGCAAAAGGTCATTTATTCTGATGAAAAATATCTTTCAGGGAAAGAGGGAAAGCCACAATCCCTCGACATTGAAGATTGAGGGTAGCCTTAGGGCACCAAATGAGTAAACCTTAGGTGTTATTCTACTTTAGGCACCTCTAAGGAGGGCAACAGACTTATTGGATTGAGACTCTGCTAACAGCAACAGATTGTAACATACCGATTTTAGCTACAAACATAACATAAATCAAGCAGGCTACCCCCAAATCAAGCATAACAATCGGCCACTAACACAATAATTTCTATATTTCAGGGAAACGAATAAATCAGATACTGGCTACCTTTCGAGTGTGGTGAGAAATTGATGCCAATAAGCAGATGGACGCCTACGGGGGAGAGACGACGCAGATACTGCCCACCCTTCTGAACTGGTCTTCCTTGTAAAGACCAATATGGGAAGAGACGATGACAGAGCAGTGCGATTGGTGTTGGAGATTTGAGATGAGGGATTGGTGTTGGTGATTTAAGGATTTCACGGGAAAGCGAGTGCGAGAGATATTAGAGGTGAGGGATTGGAGATAAGGGAAAAAGAGACCACGAGAGAGAGATGATGGATTTTAGGGCTGCTGTGTCCAGTTAGCAATTTTTCCCTTTTTTTTTAATCTTAGCGGGTTGGGTTAGCGGATTATGGATTGGGTATTTTGTGGGTTGTTGGGTCAGAATCGAAATGGGGTCTATCGCAACGTTTGTTGAGTGTTGCGAAAAGAGGTCTATTGTAACATTTTTCTAAAAAAACGTTGCCAAAACTTATTTATACTAACCAATGACAACATTCACTTACTAAAATGTTGTCAAAAGACCCTTTTAGCAACATTTATTAATAATTGTTGTCTTTCTAATGTTGCGAATGACTCTTTTTGTTGTAGCGTTATTCTTCGTTGAGCCACTTGAAATGACCGCAATTGTTCGTACAATAGAAGAATAGCCAACCTATGTTTTTAGTCTTCTTTTCAAGGTCCATACATTTCTCAATTCCTTCGCCGTATACTGGGCACGATTTTTTCGTACGACAATTCGACAAGTAGTAGCCCCGACTTCTTACAACCATAACAAATCTCCTTGTTCTTTCCTGCCATTAAAATATGCTATTGCAGCCACAAAAAATTCAGAATAGTTATCATATTTATCCACTTATTCTTCAAGAAGTAATACAAAATTAAGAACATCCATAGAACAAGACTTCAAATATGTTAACCAATTTATAAACCATTAAATTTCCATTTTTGCAATTTTCAAAATCAAGAAATCGAGTATGTATTACCTAATTTGGGATACCAACGTTGACCCAAATAATTGACTAGATTTTCATAGACTTTGCATGAGATTCGGGAGAAATCGATTTCAAGATGTTAGGGTTTGAAAGATTTTGGAGAAGATGGTTCTTGAGGTAAACTTAGGGTTCTTGATAGATTTGGGAGCAACTCTGATTGGGGAAGAGATGTATATGGCTTACACGTCTGTTTCTTTTCATTTTGTATGTGCAAGACGTTTTTATTAATTGTTAAAGCCTTGTTCGTATGCAATTTTGCTAACGTGGAAGTTGCTTTGGCACTTGACTCACCACTAGGAAGGATTTAACCGGTCGGCTAGGTTTTTCGTCATCCAAGCAAGCATGTTTATTAATGATTTTTATTGGGGTAGCGATGAAGATGGATGGAGCACAATTTAGTCGCCAATGAAACAATTGATAAAGTTCAGTGAGTTAGTCTTGACATGATATAAGTTCGGTTGCCATTGAAATATTTAAAGCTTATTGGCATAAAATGTCCCTACGTTTGGTTTTTAGTGTGCAAAACATTCTTACGTTTCAAATTTTTGCATTTTCACCCTTATTTTCACATTTCATTGTGGAGAACATCATTTTCATCAATTTTTATCCAATTTCTTAATTTTAAAAAATATAAAATGACAAATATACCCTCGTACTTAAGTAAGACAAAAAAAAGAAAAAAAAAAGAGTAATTGCAACCATACTCCCGAACCTTTTTAAAAAGTGCAAATTAATCCCAAATAAATTATTTAAAAATTCAAAAGAAAAAAATGGCCCTCTCTCCCTTTGTTCTGCCCCACAAATCCACCAAAGATCATAAAACCCACCGCCCTCCCTTTCTTTAATAAACTCCAGAAAAAATTCATCAAAGATTTCAAAACTCATCAACTCAATTTCACTTCATAATTATCTAAATCTTTTAAAAGCTTGTGATTTTGGCTCGATCCCGAGAATGAATAGTAGCATTAGGACTTGAATTCTTAGATATGGCTCCATGGGATTAGTCGCCATGGTGAGGCGACCCGATCGATGGTGGTCCATGACCATGAAAGTCACCAGAGGTCCAGGTTTTGATTGCTAAACCGTGCGCAATCATGGTTTGTTTTTTTATTGATTTGGGCCTCAATAGTTGTTGTTTGGATTGGAGATTGGTTGAAGATTGTAGGTGTCATGAAACCATGGAGGGAAAAAATCGCCCTTAATCTAGAGAGAGTGGAGGAAGGGTATGGTTGTTTTTTTTTTTTTTTTGGGAATTGTTAATTGATTCAGTGATTTTACTATATTTGTACATAAATGTTAATTGTATATATTGATCTTTATTCAGGAAGCATTTAATTTCTTCCGTGGTTTGTGATTAATTTGTCGATTGGAGCTTTTACACTGTTATTTATAGAATAATATCCTTGTTTTCCATTGTTCAACTTCTATTTTGTGACACAGGTTGATCATAGCAGAGAAATTTCTTATTTATTCTTGCACGATCTCTTTTTTCTGTTTTCTTGTTCTCTCCTAAAGTTAATGTTGTTTTTGCAGGGGTTGAATCATGTGTGGTACAGGACAGTTTAAATATTATCATAATTTCTAATAGTGATATTTAATTAATAAATTGTTGAAGTTTCTAATTATTTGTGTTTCTTTGTTATGCAGGAGAAAATTGGAACTGCCATTACTTGTAGGCTTCAGTTCGGATCATCATTGTTGGCTGACGAATCTATTTTATTAGTTGAAAATGTCCTCTTTATGTGGTGAGGATATCAGTCTGTGTTGGCTGCATTGACTGTGTCCTTAGTTTGGGAACAAGTCAACTTGTTTAATTATGAATGCCAAATAAGTCTTTTAGCCTGGAAGCGCGCACATTACATACCACAAAGGCAACGTTTTTATTGCTTGATTGGAAAGCTCTGCATTGTTATGCTGGTTCTCTTACATAAGCCTTCCTTTCTTTAAAACACAAGTCTATGTTTGTCCGGAGTCAAAGTCACCTCTTACTGCTACATCTCGACGTACTCTCTCTATGCCCGAAGTCTTTGCAATTTGTTGTTCTTCCGTTCGGCTGACCTTTTGAAGCTTGCTGTTGTCTATGGAACATGAAGAGCGAGGTACTTCTTAGTTCTTACTTATTCAACAGAGTTATCTTAGAGGACACTGTGGTATAGAAGAATTTGTTATATTACAGTGTGTTGAGAGAACGCGAAGTTACTTTGTTGTAACATTGTCCTGTTGTGGTCGAATGGTAACACTGAACATATGCTGACATTCGTCATATTTTGCTAGAGTATGCATTTGTTAATAGAGATTATGGGATTTCTTAATTTATACAAATATTTTATATCCATCTGTTTTATCTATTATACTAAAATGTCTGTCATGACCTTACAAAGACGATATTGAGGGTGCAAAGTCAAAGCCTCTGGTAAAGCTAAAAATGTTCGTGTTATTATTATTGAATACGTTCGTCGTGAACATGATTCATCAACTCGGCAAGTTGGATTAAATTGACACCTATGGGAGACAGAATTGGTGGATAAAAGTAATGGAGTTGTTGGGAATTTCCCTATTGTCCCCACTTCGACTTCCCGTCTACACTCTTCCCTAAAGCCCGATCCGTCCAACGAAAGGAATTCTGGTCTATGCTACGAATATTCCGAAGTTGAGGATCGAGCTTTCGTGTGACACTGATTTAGGGTTGCTTTATAGTCTTTAGGAGCGNACTGATTTAGGGTTGACTTCAACTATCTAGGCTAGGTAGATTTGTATACAGAAATCCAAAATCCAAAGAACAAAAGAAGTTTCTTTACTCGTCCTCTTGTTAAATGAAAAGGTGTAAAGATCTAGATATTTTGCAACTAGAATCTTTCTTTTATCACTGCGACTCTAGTTAAAGTAAAGCATGCTATACTTTATAGTTATACTGGGAGATCAATTTGAAGTGGACTCAAATAAGCTGAAACGGGGATTTTCAATTCAATCCTTTTGCTCTAATCAGCCCGGCTATCTCGGACGTTTTTCTGAAGTCTGGTTTTTCAATCTTTAATGAAGTGCATCGAAGTGATTGACGCATCAGACAGCTATATCAAAATAATTTTAAACGTGCATATTCTTGTTTAATTCAATGTAACAAGCATGCCAATGGAGTATGAGCATTTTAGAAGAAAGGATTAATAACATATAGGATAAAATTGATACCTTGCTCCATACTTCTGATATATCTTCTTGTTGAAGAATGAAGACAATTGGTTCTCAGTTCTTTAGTATTAGCACAAGAAACCTTTTTCAGGAATCTGCAGTAGCCTTTTCAATTGGTATTCTTTATGCATCCCAAGATAATTGTTTTGTCTGAAGCAAGGAATTGCTTCTTATTTTGGCCATCCAAGATAAAAGAGGTTCTAAACCGAAAACTATTATCTTGCGGCTAATGAATTTTGCAAAGCAACTAATGGATTCTACATGTCGAATTTCCCTAAAGTTTAATTTTTCCAGGGTACAAATATGTTGCAGACTTGTAGGGATAACTTCCCCCAACTTTATCACCCACCAACCTTATTAATTCTCTTTAGGACAAGACATTGCTACAACTAGGATACTTTTGATATGATGATCATAGGATCTTGGAAACTTTCCATTTCATTGATCGTCGTTTCCTTTTTTTCTTACTCTTTTGCTTACACATTTACCATTATCAACAACTGTCCTTACACAATATGGCCTGGCACATTAGCCGGTGCCGGAACCCCTCAACTTCCTACAACCGGGTTTCAACTAGATTCAGGCCAAAGTATTGCAATCCCAAGTGTTCCGGGATGGTCTGGTCGCGTGTGGGGTAGGACGGGTTGCACGTTTGATACATCAGGTGTTGGCTCATGTCAAACAGGGGATTGTGGGGGAAGGCTGGAATGTGATGGCATGGGCTCCACGCCTCCAGCATCACTCTTTGAAATAACCCTGGGAGCTGGAGACCAGAAAGATTTTTACGACGTCAGCCTCGTTGATGGATACAATTTGCCACTAGTTGCGGTACCACGAGGAGTTCCTAGTGGATGCAATGCCACAGGTTGTGTTTCGAATGTCAACATGGGTAAGTTATGCGTTCAACCACTTCATCATAAAAACTCGTTACCTATTAGAGATTATTATTCTGTGGACTAAGATATAGTAACCAATATTGGATATCGAACAGGTTGCCCGAAAGAACTTCAGGTGATCGGTACTGGTGAAGGCGAAGGCGGTAGTGAAGTTGTTGGCTGCAAGAGCGCGTGCGAGGCATTCGGACAGGACCAGTATTGCTGCAGCGGAGAATTCGCGAATCCTTCTACTTGCCGGCCATCATTCTACTCGACTATCTTTAAGAGAGCATGTCCAAGAGCTTATAGCTATGCATTCGATGATGGCTCCAGCATTTTCACTTGCAAGGCTAATGAATACGACATCATATTTTGTCCCGACAGCGGGTAATCAAATCCTAAATTCTTCTCGTGTCCGCATTTGTGTTTGTTAGGGATTAAACCCGATTACTAATTACAAAATTAATAATAAGGAAAATGAATTTTGAAACACACAAGGCACACATAAATATATACGACTCTATGCCCTCCCTCGACCTTATTACAAAGGTTGATTCGCAGTTGAAGGGACAAGTGAACGATATGATTAGGTTTCACATATTTTCATAAAGGATAAATCTGTATGTACATAATTATTGTACATAATGGATTAAATAGCCCCATGTGGAAGAAATCTTGTCGTGGATGTGAAGTGTGGAAAAGTCAAATATTGTAGACTACCGATAGATGCACGCCACATGTTAATTATGTAATGTATTATGTAAATGATTATGTACGGGACTAATTCTAATTTTGCAATGCAGGATGAGAAGACCAAACAGTGCATTAACAGCTTCACCAATGAAAGAAAAAAGAAATGGGGCTGCAGGGATGGCTTCATCCGCAACAATTCTCCTACCCATAAAAATCTCAATATCTATTCTCATCTTCACTTTGTATTTCTAGACATATCTGATACATTCCCAGCCTTGTTCTTTGAAAAATGGCACATGGAGAGAGAAGTCGTCATTGCATTCAAGAACAAGCTCAAAATTTATCAGAAAATCACAACAAATTGTCCAGAAAATAGAATATTATTCTAATTCGGCAGAAAGAATATAACCGTAATTGTATTTCTTGAAATGATAAAGAGTATTGCTTCTCTGATTTCTCTCTTTCATTGTTAATGCTAAAATGATGTTCGTTATGCTCGACTGGCACGGATTGGATAGGATCGGAGGAAAAATAGAATCACAATGTCAAGACAGTGGACTTTCTCAAACACGCTTGTCTCGCTTGTATTTTTCAAAGCTAGTTTGTGCATTTAGCCATGGCACATAATATTTGCACCATCATTGGCCAACTTGTTCAATAATGCTGCTCATCTAGGCCAAAAACAGGAAACAATGAGACACGGTGACGTGTAGCGAAATGATTGGATGGTGGTGGTGTTTTTTTTTCGAACGGTCCAATTCGATACCAACACATGTCCTCACTGGATTTAACCATGAGTTTGAGCCTGTTCCTGTAGCCTGAGTCTGATTTCTCTCCCAAAATAATGAACCACTCGTGGGGTAGGTGGGGTCAGGGGTGGTATACACGTTAGCTTTATGTTTAAGAAATCCTATACATTATTATTTTACATTTGAAACCGTTTGCCTATTACTTCCCTTGACCCTTTACTTTTCTAGATATGCTGCGTAAAAATCTTTGAAATTATCAAAAACGTAACGAGCAGAGAAGAATTTTTCAATAAATTGGAATAAAACGAAAGAAGGAAGAAAAAAATAATTAACATTACATTATCAATAATCAAACCACCGTACACAAATCTCCCATCCTAATAACTAAGGAGAAAATAAAACATTAATGTTTTACAAGCTCATTTACACATGCCAAGCTGCAACCGCAGACAAACCATCCAAGAGAAATCCGACGAACTATGTGGAAACCCCTTAAATCATAACTCCAAGAAATCAAAACAAAAATAAGTAAAAGGCTATAAGTGACTATTTTCCATAATCAATTAATGGTGATATCTGCAGGATCATCGAGAACTTGGGACAGAAATGGAGGCTTGTTGAAGAACTTTTTGGGCAGTAGAAAGTTGTTCCATTAATGACATTAATCGTGCTCGGTAAGCCCGAGCCTGATCTACAGCCTCAGCTTCAAACTCGCCGAGTTGGGAGCAGAGCCGCTCCTCCGCCTCCTCCGCCACCCTCAGCCGGTCCCACGTTCTTTGCAATTCTCGTTTCATATTTTCTTCTCTTTCCAGGCTCCTTTTCAATTCCTTTTCCAACTCCTCGTTTCTCTTTTGCAACACCTCGTGCTCCGCCAATGCCGGCAGATCATGGCGGTGCTGAGGCTTCGAGACGGCGATGGCTGGAGCCATTTTTGTACCAATCTGATGGAATAAAAAAAAGTATGAAGGAGGAAATTAATTGGCTTTAGAGTTTAAAGCAAATTCTTGATTTGTGGTTTTAGATATGGAACAAACAAATGTTCTATACAAGGGATTTTATAGGCTATGAATGAGTGTCCAGGTTCAATGTATCTGATTGGTTATCCAGGAGAAAAGTCTTATGCTCGGAGTTGTAGAATGTACTAGATTTTTTTTACAATTGAAAAATTGCATATCTACTACCCAACCTTTAACTTCTATTCTTTTTTTCATCCACTTATTAAAATTATCTTTTAAATCTTCAGTGACTTTTAAAATTAGTTCTGTTGGTAACTAAGCATGTGACGACGCTCACACGCCAAACCAAGTATTGTGTTGTGCAAATGTTATGAATAATAGAAACGGTAAATAAAATTAGAATAAAGATACTTTGCCAAAAGAATGACAAAAAACTTAACATAATTGATTGTGGCAATAGATGAATGGATCGAAAATTTGACTGTATTTTAAACTGTCCAACAATAGAATGTCACGTGACATTGTGTCAAACTTCATATTAATCTTTATGTACATATAGCATGATTGATAAAATTATCAATCATGTCAAAGCCATTCTAGTATGAGCGATGATGATACCGATTTGAAACATGGATGTTGGAGACTTGGAAGTTTATATTTGAAAATTGGGAGTAATTTGTAAAAGGTATTAAAGTTTGAGGACTAAATATTAAATATCCCATTATATAAATTTCAATTATTTAAAAAATTAATCTTGTCATTACATACATAAGCAGTTAATGATTTGTTCGGTATTTATTAGCAGCCGGCGCCGTTACAGTTACAACGTTATTGTATTTATGCCGTTAAAATAAAGATTAGTAGTATTTTGAAATAATGAGAATTGCGTGGGCGGTGCTGGGCCTAAGATCTTGTCTGATTTCTTGTCACAATAAAATAATGCTGGATTCGTTTATAAAAGAATATTCTGTTTAATATTCGATGGAGGTCATCTTCACTTTCCGCGTTTGCTAGTAACATGATATTTATGCCTAGCCTATGGGACATCAAAGGGCTAAAGCAATTCGTTAGAAAGATGCCATTATTTTGTGCTCTAGCGAGGAATTCTAGTTATTTGAGTCACAAGACTCGATGGAAAAGAGCTCTTTATGCAAGTCTATTACACCTAAATTTAGCACTTTTAACAATAAGTGGGACAAACGTCAATACAGATTCGATTTTAGATTCAAAAATACAGGGTATCATCAATGAGCAAGCAAGACACGATGCAATAATATCAAAGCACTAAGTGTTCCTTATTTGCTCAGATGTGTCAATTCGTCTATAAATTTCCTTAAAAATGAAAATGACTGCAATAATTTTTTTTTTACTCATTTGTCCATAAAAGTTGAGAAGGGTGGAGAAAGTCAAAGGAAGCAAAAAATAAAGAATAAAAATGAATCCAACACTATATGTAGAAAAAATAAGAACATGTTGGAATTGAACCGGGTTCAATTGACTTCTTTCAAATTTGGTAAAATCGTGTTTTGGCAAATATAACTCTTTTATTCAAACTTATCACTGGATATATGACACGTGGACGGAATGTGGCCGTTGGATTGGCTTCTGGATGGTTTTAATACTTAATTCCATTTCATTTGGCATTATTTCGAGGGTCGATTTCTAGGGTTTCATTCATTCATGCTTTGAATACTTCTCTCTGATTTGGGTGGGGAGTGGGGGTGGTGTGGATGGAGAAGAAGAAGGTGGAATGAGTTTTTTATTTTAATTATTTGATTATGGTTATTTTATTATTAAAAAATGTAAATTCACCATTTTAACATTTTAAAATCAGTCAATATTATTGTCAAAGTCAATTATTTGGTCAATTGACGGTCAAACTAATAGAAACCATCCATTTGAACTTTAGTTGCGGACATTTTGAAATGTTTGACACCGTTGGTGGCAAAAATAAAAGGTTTGGTACTGTGGGTGGTACAAATGAAATGTTTTGACAAAGTCCACTACTAAATGAAAAGTTTGGTACTGCTGCTGCAATTATCCCTATATTTTATTTTCATCAACTTTTATCTAAATTATTATATGAGAAAATTACACATACCATGGTTTTTAACTTACCATTTCAAAAATTAGACTTCGACTTTATTATTTCAAAATTATATATATATTACACTCTACCATAACTCGCATCCCGCATCTATCCTTTTATCCATTTCCCCAAGTCACAACACACATCCACTCCCAAAACCATTGTCACGTCGTCACCACTGTCGGCCAACACCACTTCGACCACTGTCGATCATCACCAACCCGTTATGTACCTATTCCACCCGCATAAACTATAACCATAACCTTAAACCCATCTCAATTCCATCTCTGACGCCCAGATCCACACCATCATTATTCATCGCCTACTGGACGTCTACCATATCTCTCTCTTTACCATATATGTTTATGCTCTCTCTCTCTTTCGATTCTTCCCAAAACCACCCCGTCTCCAAGATCCATACCGTCGATGCCCACCACTGTCCACCGCATGTTGGATGCCCACTGTGGCCCATCCTGCTACCTCTTCTCCCATTTTGCATTTCCTTCAAGCTTGGGGTCTTCTTTGTTTCCTCACCATTGAAATCGATGCCATCTTTATGTTTCTCAAGTGTGTTAGGACAATGCTTGTTGCTGTTTTGGGCATCACTTGTTTGGATTGTGGTGTGATGGTGTAAACGTGGTTTTGTTGGTGCATCGCCTCTACTGTTGGGAAAATCGTTACCATTACAATGATATTTCATGTTGGATCACCAAGAATTCATGAACCAAAGGGGAAGCGTACCCGAATTAGACATGGTTAATGCAACGGTGAGTCCCAAGATTTTAGTCTTCCAGATTAACACGTTATTCCTTTATTTCTTTATAATGATGGGAGTTAGAACAGAATGAACAATTATTCATGTGTGATTCGGGGACCATAACCGTGTATATATACTAACGGCTTGTTAACCTAATTTGGCCCATCATAAAATTAAGAACATGCCTGATCTCTACACATAAAGATCTATACTTTAAATAGATGTTTCAAGGCCCAAAATACTGATACCTTATTAGATCACTTTAAACAAGTTTAACCAAAATTGATAGTTTTTAATTTAATATACAATAATTCACATATAAGCCACATGATCGATTAAAAAATTCTTACAATCTCTCACTTGGACTATATGTGTTACCTTATAATTGTGCATTAAACATAACTTTATGAGTATTCAAAATGTTGTTATCATTGCCGAATACATCCCCAAACAATCTGATCCATCAATTATATCAACTAGGATCAAAGTGGCTTTCGCTACTTTTATCGTAACTATATCCATCAATGATCACGTATATCGGTATAACTGAATGACATGGATGTGTAGTATGGAAATTACATGTGATGAGATCTTAACATGCATATTTCCAATTAGTCCACCTTAGTGAGATCATTTTCAAATAATAACTTGAGTGGTCCTTCTATACTATCCATAATGTGCAACTCAGTGATAATAAATCTGCAGTATTGTATTCTAATAACAACAGGAGCTCGAAATGTGCAGTCATATTTCATGGTTCGATGCCTATTAACATGTTATAAACTCTGCTGCCATGGTGGAGTGGCTATGAGTGTTTGCTTAGAACTCTTTCGGAAATAGCACCTACAGCAAGCAGGTAGATATAGCTTGAAGTGAATCTCCTGTAACGATCCGGATCCTACTTAACGGGTTGTCCTGGTCGTTAGATCGACTACGTATTGTCCCCACTGTATCAACATGAGTCTTTTCAGCATACTTTATCCTCACTCGCACGTTCCCCAAGAAAACTTCCCAAGGGGCACCCATCATAGAATTGCTCCAAGCCAAACACGCTTAACTGTAGAGTTTCTAACGATGGACTTCCGGAAAAGAAGGTGCACCTTGTTGGTATGAGTAGTACCTATCAAATCTTTTAAGCTTTCCTGGTCTGGGTATTATATCTCCTACTATCTCGGCATCCCGCGAAATCGGAATCAGACTCTCTATAGCTGAAGAATAAGGAATCTTCTGTATTTCTTTAATTTTCAAGTATTTAATTTTCAAGTCATTTTTGGGGCATTAACTTAAACTGGACTTGTTTCCTTTAGCTATATGGGTGTCACATGATTTACAATCTTGCATGCCAAATTTTTGAAGTACCTTTTTGATGTATCTCATTTGTGATAATCCAAGAATATCCCGAGAACGATCCCGGTGTATCTATTCTGAATACAAAAGAGACGTCAACAAAATCTTTCATTTCAAAATACCTTGCTAGAAATCTCTTGTTTTCGTGCAATAAGCATATATCATTGCAGCAAGCAATATGTCATCGACATATAAAACCAGAAAAATATACTTACTCCCACTGAACTTGTGGTATATACAATCATCGACTAAATTCGTTTCAAAACCATACGAGATGATCACTTGATAAAACTTGTATACCATTGACGAGAAGCTTGTTTGATTCCATAGATAGATTTCCTTAGTTTACAAACAATTTACTTTACATTATTCGACAAAAAGTTTTCTGATTGTACCATATAAATTGTTTCATCAATGTCCCACTTTTTATGTTTTCGTGACTGTGACGTTGTGTGATTTGTGACTAGTGAGTAATTATAACTATGAAATGTATGTTATCATGATCTTAATCTATTTAATTAATAAATTGGTCAAAAAAAGTATCAGGTGGTTGTAAAAAAGTCTTTATCAGATGGTCACAAATGTGACCACTTGATGTTTGAAAAGAATTTCAGGAGTTTTTTATTTTTATTTTTTTAAAGTGTACTTTTAAATGATGGTAATTATGTATTTTTTTTCATATTATATTATTTCTCTTAATATATATATATATATAGTTAAATCAATATATGGAGATTGAAAATTGAAAAATCTTAAATATATTTAATTTGAAAGGCAATC